AATCATCCAACAGGCAGAGACTGAGAATAGGAAATGCACCATGGTACATTCCTRTGTGCATGGCAAACACACTGAGAGCTGGAGCATGTCTCTGGCARCAGTGTATTGAGTCTCAGATCCTGAGCCCTGTTCTGTACCAGAGCAAACATTGCCTTAGATGTAATATCAGCAGATGAAAWACCTCTTTATGAAAGTGACCCTAAGACTGGCAATTACACTGGCTTTCTGTTGTCAAATATTGTATGTTTATGTTCTCAAAGGTTGAAGTTATGCTTTGCAACATAATGCATAAATGCAGAAAAATGCATTTACTTGGACTTCTGTCTGTGAATATGGGAAAACCCATAGAAGCCAACAGAAGCATATTCAGTCCAGAAGGATTCTGCAGGCCGTGAAGATAAAATATACTTAGGCAAGCAACAATGTTTTTAATATATTGTCTAGAAAATAAGTAAATAAGTGGAGAGAATTATGTGGAGAAAAGGTATTGGAACCACAGGGAGTAGTGTACAAAATTGTGCTGCAAAAACATGTTAGCCAAAGTTATTRTAGTTTTGTTTGGTATTTTTAAATTTAGTTCTTCCTAAAGATTTAATGACATAATTTCAATGGTACTTTCCTGGGTAATTTAAGCTAAGCTTACCTGGGCAATATAATATCCTAAAGAATTTATTTTGGGCTATATAGCTCATATATAGGTTGAAACAGAAAAAGTGAATTAAAGCAGCTTAGAGACTCAATGAGAGCATTTGAAAGTTCATTGAATTGGACAAAGGCTGGAGAAAGGCAGCAATCTCAGTGCATTTTAAAAAAATCRGTCCTAAGTATTTGTAATTACGTAACAGTTAATCCTTTGCCAGATAGCTCAAAACAAAAGAAATAAGGATCAGGGAAACGTTATTAAAATTTTGCCATTTGTATAGTGGCCCTCACAGTGCCATTTGGATAGTGGCCCTCACTTCAGACTGCAGTCATTATACATCAACTCTGTGGCACAAAGTCTGGCTGTCAGCAGGTCCAATTTTAGTGGAGTTTTCATTTACATCAATTTTGTCTCCTCCATTTTGCCTTGACTGTTACATTTTAGAAATAACCACTCAGTCTTTAGCTTCATAAGCATTCTTTTGGATCAAAGGATGAATTTTATGTATTGCAGGTTCTGAGCTGGAGGTASATATAAGAGGAGTTGGAACAGATGTTAGTTTCTAGAATTAATACAGTTTAAATATCTTAAAGAGTGCTTGAGTGAATTCACTTCCTTCTGACTTAGACCTGAGACAGGCTTCCTTTCAAACCCCTAATGCATAAACAACATTGGCTGCATTTTTGCMGAAGGGGTGGACTGTCTGGTTCAATGTCTGATCAGACAGGGCCCACAGAAGATTTTGTGGGAAGAGCACTKGGTGATGTTACAGAATGACAATACTTCCCCAATATTCTCTCGGACTTGGTAAYCAGTGATTTTTCTGGCCTGGAAATGGTATTTTTGGCTAGTGATAGTGTTAGCGGCTTGTGCTTCTTAGAGTTGTCTAATAATTTTTGAATCCCTGTGAATTTTAGCCATCCTTAACTTCCTGTAGTAATAAGGCCTCTACAGTTTAATTTTGTGTTACAAGAAAAACTGCCACCCTTTCTTTGWTTTAACCTGCCCACCTGATGACTTCATTTGGTTCCTCCTGTGTTTTGTAGCTTGAGAGGTTAGTAATTGTTTCCTCTTCTCCTTCTCTCAGAGGCTTGTGATTTTATAGATACTTTTCTTATTTCTTTTAGTTGTCATTTTTCCAAGCTGAAGAGTCCATATTTATTTAGTCACCATTCAATATATATGTTTCATACCTTCGATCATCTCTGCAGCATTTCTTTGTACTTTTTCTAGTTCTACTGTATGTTTTTTGAGAAGAGAGAAGAGACAGGGGTTAGAACCATCCTCAATATGCAAAAAGAGATGCAACATTGGTTTACATAGTAGCATAGTAGTGTTCATGGTTTTGCTCTCTAGGCCTTTCCCCATAGTTCTCCACACTGAATTTGCTTTTTGGGAGTATTTGCACAGTGTTTTCGTAGAAAAAGTCTATTATATTTATACTTGTAAAGTCTCCTTCCTGAATAGAAATAACTAGTTCATAGTTCATCACTGCATAAAACTAGAATTATATTTCCCTCTATACATGACTTCATAGTCATTGAAATGAACACCATCTACTAATTCAGCTTCTGATTATTCATTATCATTGTTAATGTGTTTTTTCCCACTTCCCAGTGAATTTCAGTTTTTCACCAGAAAGAAGACTTTCTTTTTATTTTACTCTTTTTTTCTGTAGATCACTTAGAAAGGTTTGAAAAGTAGAGACCATAGCACAGATTCTTATGGGACCCCACTGGTGATCTCCTTCCACTGTGGTAACTGCCCATTTCTTCTAGCTCTTTTCATGTGTTTTAACCAGACATGAAATCCATGAGAAATTACCCCATACATCCTATGTTGGCTTATTTTATTTAGAAATATTTTTAACTGAACTTAACCTGATTTTCTCAACTGAAGAAAGCTGGTGTGAATAAGTAATTCTAGGCAARTACATAAATGCAGCTGTTGTTTAGTTCAAAACAGAGGTATTGAAGATCATATTCACTCAGAAGTTCTGATGAGGAGTGAATGAGGCTGTTTACTGAGTACCAACATGGCTCTGATGGAGCTCCTGTATGCTCTTCAGCTTTGTATCTGGTGCAGTTGATGTTTGTTTCAAGGGGCTGGYCTGCAGTCATTCCCAGGTATCTCCCAAAGGCTGCMTCCTGGTCTCAGCACAATCCTTTGTGTTTTCACCTGTCACTATGATCTGGGTTTACTGGAAGGATAACAGAGTCCAGCTGYTTCCCACAAGGGAACATTGAGCTTYATCATCAGAATGGGTGATRGAGTCTGTATCTATGCAGTGGAAGGAACAGATACAGCCCTTGGGATCAGAGTTGAGTCCAGGTGACAGCAAGCTGCTCTTAACCCATAGGATGAGCTGGTGGGACTGGGGAGGAGACAGCTGGAGATCATTTCAAAAATTCTTTGTTCCTTGTCCTTTCTTCCTTTTAAGTTTTGCTTTTTGTGGCATCCTGTGCCTAGCAGGGTTCAGTGCTGGAAGGCCAGCACCACACACACATCCCATGGATCCAGAGCTGACCAACCACAGGTGCAACCATAGCAACAGAGAGGATCATGACTTTGTTACTGGGACAGAAGAGGGGGGAGACAGGTTCAGAAGAAGAAATCAGCGCTCCCAAGATTAACCACAAAGCCAGCTTTGGATCTTGAGTTTCAAGGCCTGAATATTGTGAGCAACATGACAGTTGTCACTTTTCCAAGCACTGGTGAAAGGAAAAGAGCTGAAAGACTGAGGGTTCTGTCACAAAAAGTARCAGGGAGTGAGAGTCATTTATCCAGTGTTGCATTGGAGTACAATGGAAGCAAAGGAATGCGGAAGCGTAGGTGGGATCCCTTGAGCAAAGAGACCTGGAGATAGCTGCCCACAGCCAGAGGCCCATGAGACTAAAAGTAGTACTGGTGCTCCAAGCAGAGGGAGGCCCAGAGGACACAAGGTGAAAATGCTGCTGAAYTCTTTTTCTGCTGGATTATGATACTCTTCTGTTGCTGAGGAGCTGAGTATGGCAAGCAACCCTTTAGTGTTTGGAGTCCTTGTTCTCAGTGTGCTTTGAAAGGGATGCATTAGGTTATTTTTGAGGGAGAGTAAATATGGCTGGCAGTTGTCTCTGGTCTTGTTTGAAACATACTTCTGAATATTTTAAGGGTTTGCAATGCTGACAAAGCTTTTGGGGGATGGAGCAACACATTCAAAGGAAGCTGTGATATGTTTAAAGAGTCTAGCTTGTATGTTTTGATAGGATCCTGAAGCAAAGAGATTGCAGTAAATTCCCTAGCCAAAACCACGACCTACACTCCAAATTATGACATAAAAGTCACCAATTATCTTGTATGTACCAGTTACATATGATGTGGATAGGAAATATAAGAGAAGTCTGCCCTAGAAATCCAAGGGAAGTTTTTGGAAGGAGTGGCTGAGAGAAATATGAYGGAGACCAACAGACACTTGGGAAGCTCAGGCATTGAGACTTGAAGGTTACATTAGCCAGTGTCAGGATTCAGGGGGTCATATGGCCTCTGTCTTATGAGCACAGRATATGTGAATTGCTGGGCCATTGTAGCCTCTTCAGGACACCTCATGGTCCTGTCAGTCTGCCACCTGCTCTCTGCAAAGCCCCTCAGCCTTGTGTAGAATTGGGTTGGTGCTGCCTTCTCACCAAGGCTTGCCAACTTCAAAGCAAGCCAGTGACCTTCTGTTGGTGCTTATCATGTTGCAGGCCACAGCTGAACTCCTACAATGTAAGCCTGGGTTGTAAGAGCTCCTGTAACTTTGCAGGAGGCCTTCTATCTTCTGGGAAAGGCTTGCATTGCTCTGATGATGAAAGAAATGGGCTTTTCTCACTCTCCCCAGGTCTTTTGGATTCTAGCTCTACCAAGTCAGTATGTATCGTAGTTGGAACCTCACCAACCAGCCCTTTATCCTTTATGTCTGTTTCTATTCCATTCTCACTGCGATATATATGTGCTTAGTGCAAGCCTTATGTTACTGTATTAAAGTCTCTACAAATCCAAATAGGTAATTATCTCATTAGTGATGGGAATCAGGTCTTTTCCTGCTGCTATTCTGCCTGTCTTCAATGCTAATCAGCCAAAGAAATGTTCCAGTTTAGAGTTTTTATCCTCATTTCCTTTTTTCTCCTCAAGAGAATGTCTAGTAATATAGTCCCAGCCTGAAATTTAAGGACAGCAGTTGGCACATGGCACCTCCAGCAGGTGTTGTGCTTGCTAAAGCCACTTTATGCAAATTCATAGTTGGCTAAATATTAAGAGATTGCTTGGAAGCAGCAGTGCCTCGTAGGCAGCAGTCCTTATATGCAGRGTGGTGAAAATATGATGGCTCTTTTTTCCTCAGGCCTCCAGAGAATCATCATTTTGCCTTGGAAGGAGAGGTGGAGAGCAGTGTCTACAACAAGGTGACACGGGCTCCTCTGGCACATCCCAACTATCAGCTTCAGTTTGCAGTGCAGCAGCTTCAGCAGCAGAAACTTCAGTCACGACAGGTGTTGGAGCAAAACCAAGCACGGCAACAGGTAACTAAGAAAAAATCCTGCCTGGGTTGTAGCAGTGCTGACTGAGTCTTAGATGTGCAGAACAAACCCAGAGACATTACATACTGCACAGATTTTGGGAAGGAAGTAGCTGTTAAAGTGGGTTGCAACAAAACTGATATTACCTGTAGTGATTTTGATGGCATTTTTATGCTGTGGTTGCCAATAGCTTCTTCCATTGCGCTGACATCTGAAGAGCTGTAGGAAATAGGAAAAAGGGCTTGTATTATTGATGTTCTGGATGTTCTGGATGACACCTAGATGCCAAAGATGGACCATTGTGTGTGGAACAGCATTTGCATCCTGCCTGGGGAATCTTTCAAGATTATAATGACTTAATTGATGCACTTGTTACCTTACTTTGTCATTATGGAGAGTGATATGTATTTTGAGTGATGTCCAAAAGGCTTCCCTGCTAAAAGGATGGAAACCTTTGGGTGAACAAGCCTTCATTCAAAAGAGCTTTGTCTCCATTAGAGCTGTTTGTTAGCAGCCTGGCATGACTGGACTCCCATGAACAGACCTAACACATGGATGTCTGAACACCCCATCRCCCTCCTGTGAAGCAGTCATTAGTCAGGGTCCTTGAGAACAGGTTATAAGCAAATTGCCCTCATCCTTTCCTGGGAGCATCTTGAAGGACAGGCCCTTCTGCTTTTCCTCCTTRCCCTCCTTTCAAGACCCTTTCTTTGCCATGTAGTTTTCATCCTCAGCCTCTCTCACCTACAGTCTTTTCACTCCCACTCCACGCAGGAGGTCTTCATTTCACTCTGTGCATGGGGCTCTGTGTGGGCAGTTGTGGCTGCTCACGAGCTCAGGAAAGGGCCATAAACTGGCTTGTGCCTGTGAAGAGGCTGGAGCTGGCCATGGGGCCTGGCTGAGCCCTCTTCTAATTGCTGACATTGAGCTGATGTTATTCTTGGCCTGGGGCAGAGCCATTACTCAGGGGTTTCTGTTAAAATGATTCTTTGTTAAACCTCCTCTCACCCCCACAACAYCCCCCCTCCTTTTTCTCCCTCCCTTCTCCTGAGCCAAGCATTTTGGAGTTGCTGTATTTAGGCTATTGCTGTGCTTCAGGGCTCAGGCTGTACTGAATTTGCCATTAATGAAGGAAAATACTTGCTGAACACAGGGCCTTCAGACTTTCTGTCATGAATAAAATGGCATCTTAATAAAATGATTGTTTCTTGGACACTTCCTGTCCAAGACATTGTATGGAGCCTGCTATCCCACCTCTTCTTGTCWCAGTTGCACCGATCCTCTGGTGTCTCTGCCAGTCACAGCATTACCCTTGTCTTCCCCTGTACCCTCTCTMGTTTTCTGTTACTGACCTCTTCCTTCTGCTAGTTTGATTCTCAGACTTCAGTCCTTTAACTTGACCTAAGAACTGCTTTCTCTTTTCTGCTGTTTATGCATTTTCTGCCCTACATCTTCCCACTCACACTGCTTTGACTTCTGCACCACCCTCTTTGTCCTCCCTTTTTACTGGAGGTTCATGTAGGTTATCATAGGCTGCATGGCTTTACCGCATTTCCTTGTCAGTGTCACCTATTTCCCATTGCCTGCTGTTTCCTTTCTGATCTTTCTCATGTATTGAGATGTGCTCCATGCTTTGTTGTCTTGCCTGTTACATTCAAATTTGTCATTTTCCTCTCAGCAGAGGAAATACATCCCCCAAGATTGAAGGTCCATCACTTGAAAGAGTGTCGTCATCTCTCTGCTTTGGGGAATGCATGCAGGATATTTCCAAGACTGATTGTTCAAGTTCTTGTTATGGTTAGAAGGCAGACTAGCCATATGTCAGTGGCTGAAGTACATCTGTTAATTAATATATCTTGAGACACACCCTGAGTGTGGTGTGACCATGCCATGACTAAATGCCAGTCTTTCCTTCTGGCTCTGGCAAAGGGACTAGTTACATCTATATGTATGTGATCAAGTAACAGAAGCACCATGATTATTAACACAGGCAAATGCTTCTCCTGTACATTAACCAATTTAGTATGTTGGAGATGAGGTGGATGCTCTGGTGAGCATGGACTTTTCTAGTTGAGCATTAGGAACCCTTCATGTACAATGCARTAGCTCTGTCTTATCATGTGTGTTAACAGGAAGGTTTATTGTGTGTTTCTTTGTTGCAGCACCCACTCTCCGTTGARCACTTTCCAGACTCTTAAGAATGATGATGATTTCTCCAGGCATTTAACAATTTGCAGAATAGCAAATACTGTGTGGGCAGAGGAAGAGGAATAATAATAGTTTTCACTCATTGTATGCAGAAATTAGTTCACACAGTTCAGTACAGTAGAAATAGACCTTTGATGCCAGAATAGGTTTCACTACCTGGACAAAAAAAAAAAAAAAAAAACAGCAAACCGATGGCATGAGAATTTAACAAACCAATAGGTGGAGTGATATGGGCCATTAACAGAGACAGTACAGAACTTGAGAAAAGAGAAAAAAAAATAGAGAGGGAAAGAGTTTGAAAGTAGCGGGAAGAGGCTTAAATCTGATATCAATAAAATCGAGGAACAAGAATTACGAAATCAAACCAAAAGACAAGAAAAACAGGCTTATTAGCAGTATTTTTACTGTTCAAAGGAGACTTCATGTGACATGTTATGACCTAGATGTTAGTATCACTGCTGCAGCTGGCAAGACAGTTAATGTACCATCATTGTTTATTCTCTAATTGTTTCCTGTACTGGAGAGATGCCATTAGCTGTTAGGGAGGTTCTTTTTTTGTGTGGCTATGTTCTGTCTGCTTAGCCTAGCATCTACTGGGTTTAAAATTTTATGCCAAGCATTTCACATGGGAAAAAAGCTAAATTAAAACAAGGAAAGTACAATTGTATGGTGGAATGATCCCCGTCAGTACTGCTTACATCAAAAAGGCTCGTGTTAAACAAGACATGAATCATGTTAATGAGTTGTGTGGGCAGTTTTGTGATCACATTTTCAGTCACAAATTTAAGTAGATTTTATGCTGTAGAATATTAGGCTAAATTAATCTTAAATAATTCTCCTCTCAGTCATTTAAAAACGGTATGTCCTGAAATATTCCTCATTTTATGAAGTTCAGCAATTTTTTTTTCTATCTGTTATTCTCTTCTGACATCCTTGTAATTTATTTAGATCAGTCTGGAAAGACTGAGTTCTGTGAATAATATTCCTAGTATTACTAGAACTACATTATTCCTGCCTGAGGATACAGGGCTTCCTTGAATGCAGCCTTGAACATAATAAAACTGTTTTCTAAACTGTTGTATTTGGAACTGCTGTCAGATTTGCAGTATCTCTTTTCTTTCAGTTTCTTCTTCATTCTYGTTATTCAGCTTTCTCCCTTGGATTGTTTTCCCACTAAATGTATTAACTGCCATTTTTCCTATTTGAGTCTTGTGATACTGATGAGTCAAAGTCTCAGTCTAAGTAAAATGGAACAACCATTCTCAAAGCAGTAGTCTGAGCTGATTTATACCAGCTGAAATTTTGTCCCCATGTTTCTGATCCTGTCACTATTATTAGAGTTATGGTAATGCCCAGATGTATTAACTGTCTTTCCAATACAATGATACAGCCCAATCCTCGCCCCAGAGAGAAATAAAGCAGAAGGCACCAAGTGAACTGAGTTTAGTGTATTTTATTCTTGCTCTGAAGAGTTTACCAAGGAGGATATGGTTCAGGACAGCCTGTGCATACCATGAGCTTACTCTTCTTTAACATCCCAAGATCCTTGTCTTAGTGCAGTTTAACACTATGATGGTTAATAGTACATTTTGAGCCTGCTCTTTATTGCCACTTTGTGAATTTTCAATGCAACCAGTTGTTGTATCCAACCTGATTTAACTGAATGCAGTAAATATGTGTTTAAAAGAGTTTTCACAAAACAATTTATATGACTGGAAAGGTCTTCCAACCCTATAAATTCTGTGTATTTTTGCAATGTTACCTGAAACACAATTGCTTTTCTAAAAGTTGTAGGTAGTATTTTGTTGGATTTCCTTTCTTTTTTT